CTTTTTCAGGTACCTATAACCTTGGGAAAATTTCTTAATCTCTCATGGAGTAGTTGTGAAGATTAATGAGTTAAATCATACGAAGTATTTAAAGTCCCATCTTGCCCACAGTAAACACTCAATACTAGTTTGTTTTTTTTAAGTGAAACATTCTTATGGAAAGAAAGACAACAGGTAGTATTAAAGATAAAATGCAACAGTCTAATGAAGTGACAACAGAAAACAGATGTTTTATGGAGGAAAACTTTATGCTATAGCTCTGTTCTTAAACTCAGAAAGTAGCAAAGATCTTAGGCTATATCCCACAAAACATGAAGAAACCAAGATGGAATAGCTTAACAGGTTTTCACTGCCTTGATAAAGTAGACCATCTCAAATCTATTCCATGTCTCTCACAGTCTCTTCAAGGCCAATCCCAAATATGACCTCATCCGTGAAGACTTTCCTGATCATTCTCTAATTACTCCTTCCTCTGAAATATCTACAACCCCCAAACTTCTTACTCTACTTTGTAGTAAAATCATTTTTATACTTATCCTACCAGATTATATGTAGGAATTGTATCTACATCATCAGGCATTCAACAAACATTTACAGAGTGCTTGTCATAAACAGATAACTGAGGATACAAAGGCAATGAAGACGTGATAAATGCAGTGACACCATAGTAGTAAGTATATTGTACAGAGATGGCATAAAAGAAAATGATCACTTCTAGTACACATCTGCAGTACCTAGCATGGCACAATACGTATGGTAGGCACTCAATAAGTATCTGTCAAATTTAATTCCTACTTCCTTTTTTGAACCTTTCCCACACCACTGTAAGCTTACTGTGCTTTTCTCCCCAAACCCTAAAAGTCTTTCCATACCATTTGACACATGATACCTTTTAACCTATGTACAAGCATCACAGGCTATTTAATATTTTACATATAAATGTCTTACTTTCCCCAACTATAATATGTGCTTCTTGAGAGCAAGAACCCCAGAGCACTCAATACTAACTACTAACTGTTAAGTATGTGTTAAATGGTCCTAAAGTTTCCTAAAGCAATCAAAATGTGTTATTCATCTATTTACATTACCACTGTATCACTTTTGAACCACCCCACCTATGCTCTGGTTCTCCACAAAGCAAGTGACTTTACAAAGGTGTTCTTAAAACAGGAGGAAAAAGGGATATCTACTAGAAGCATGAGACTATGCCACTGTTCTCAAGCCAAGAGTACAGATCCTAGAAAGACGGGCTTATTTCCTCTCCCAATTAGAGGCCTGGGTCTTTTGAGAATTCATACACGAATGTGTATAATGGATTCACCCAGATAGTTAGTTAACCTATGTGCCTATAACATAATACGTACACAGGGAACACTTAGTAAATGGCAGTTTACTTTTCCTCCAATCCTACAAGGCTCTAAATCCTGCTGATAAGTAAGAAAAAGTCACTTCAACTATACCACCTCTTAATTTCCATGCACTAAATATCTAGGAGAAATTAATTCCTAGCCCTCTGTTCATCCCAACCTAGGAGACAGCTTCAAGGAGCCTGGGGTCTTTAAACCTATGATACGTACCCTAAAATCTTATGCGCACACTCAAAGAAGACAAGTAGAGAACATCACGCAACCTGAATACAAGAGTAAGTTCACTAACTTCTATTATGATGATTTGGTGCACAAAATTCACATGAACTCCTGGATCAAAAGTTATTTACATATTTGGATACAATCATACTGCACCAGAACCTGAGATCATAAAAGCTCCTAGTCCAGCATTTTCTGGGTACCTCATGCAGCCACAGTCACTTTTACCCAAATCTGGCAAAACATAGATTTAAGCAGTTCTATATACATTCCAAGAGGAATTCCCTTCCTTATTTAATCTCAGTGAGTCTTAGTTCTGAAGAAGGCACTCTTCCTTCACCTCTTTCACCTCTAACTTTTCTAACCATCAGGAACACAAGAGAAAGTAGACCTCATATTTGAGTGGAACAAATTCCTATTGAACATTGCCAATCTGAATAAAGAGTTAATGAGGTACTCAATGCACTTGGGAGGAAAAAGAACTTTTAGTTATATCAATCTCAATGTGCAATTATAATAACTTGCCATACGAATAACATCTCTAATCTACTCCCACCTACTAATTCATTCTCTCTCAGACATCCTTCATAAAAGTCAGTCCCCTCAAATTTTATCATTCTTAGATAAACTATTAAAACCTTGACCCTCAAGTCCCACACTGTAACTTCTGTTTCCCTACCTGACAAGGTGTTTGTTCAGACTACCTACCAGCTAAATGACCTATAGGACTCTCTTAGGTCTGTCATAACAGGTAGAGACTGGCAATGTAGGCTCGGCCTTTTTCACAAATTGTAGCTTCTAGATCAGTACCCTGGAAAGGAATAATTGCACCCTGACCTGAAACATTTCAGTTCCAGTTGATCTAAGGTTCAATTTTTCTGTAGCCTAATACCTAAAATGTCATTTTTAGACTGAGTCATATATCCAAAATGTTGCTTCACTGATGTAGAAATATAGCCATTTAATATAGTGAACTTCAACAGGAATGTTCGTATACACAACTATGGCTTCTTTTTAAACTAATAAGTGCTGTAAAAATACTTTTTCTAATGAAAATAAATTTGTTCATTTATTAATCTTTGTATATCCTAAACAACAAACACAATAATTAACACAAAGTAAGAAGTCAATGAATGCCTACTGCACCAATGACAAAACTATACTTCAAACCTAACCCATTCTGCATCTTAGCTCAATTACAACTTCACATTTGCAGGTGAAAAAAATTAGATCAGATTATCAGATAATAATCAGGTAACTGATTATAATCACTCTCATTCTCCTCTATAAGATAACCTTAATTCTCAAATACAAATTTTCTCCAATCCATATCTACTTCCTGCTGTGTTAAACTGTGGGCTTTAAAAAGATAACAAAATACATTCTTAGCAATTGCTTTATAGACATAAAAGGTAGCTTTAAAATGGGCAGATTTTCCATGGTAAGGGTTATCAGAAGAATGAAAGTCACAGTAAAACAGAGGCTAAACAGAACAAATCACTAGCTGATAATATTACCTCAACAAGGAGGATAAACATTTGTGGCTAAATAAACACTTTCTTTTTTTTTTTAGGAAATATAAAGCATTTTTTATTTTGGGTTTGTTTTTTTTTTTGGGGCAGCTTGCCAATACAGGTTAATATAAAGCTTTTTATATGTTTTTCTGCTTAATTAGAGGAAAACTGCTAATATATATATATATAAGAAATCAATAAATTTTATTTACTAATTCTATATTAACAAAATTGTGCTCCAAAGCAAAAGAGAAAAGCAAAAGAAGGTAGAAAAAAGTAGATGGAAACTATGGTTATATAAAATGTAAGTTTCATCCTCCTACTAAACTTCAATATCAATTTGAAGGGTAAAGTGGTATGACAAACTATTCTGATATCTAGCAAAACTTTGCTTTTCATTATACTGGTAAAGAGTTCCAAATCAAATAATTGATTTTTATTTGAAGTTGGTTAAAATAGTCAACAATGACTCTTCAAGTTACTCAATTATCCTCTAATCTTGGATGGGATTTTTTAACACTTTTAATCCCCACCTTCCATTAACAGAGATGATATTAACAGAAGAAATGAGAGATCAATAGATCTTTAACATTAACAGAGATGATAAAATCTTATTAATATGCAACAACCTGTAAAACTAGTTTGAAAAAAATATAAAAATATTTTATAATTTGAAGTTTTATAAAATTTTTTATGTGACAATAACAGCTAACATTTATTGAGCGCTTACTATGAGCCAGGCACTGTGCTAAGCGCTTTAAAAGTATTACAATACTTAAAAAAAAATAGAATCTTGTATATGGAAAACGCATTGAACTGTGAGTCAAAAATCTAGATTCTATACCCAGCCTAAACTAAAAGAAAAGAAGAAATATTTGCTAAACAAGAACATTTCACGAACGCTAAGTAATGGGTTTACATTAATAAACAGGCCAAAAACACAAACCAAAATAACAATCTACCCAACCAACAAAACAAAAAACATCCTTCCTCTAATTGAAAAGAAGAGAATGCCTACTTTTAATCTGTTTAGCAAATTCTTCAAAAACACTGCAAAGGAATATACAGATACAAAAGATGTCAAAATAAATTTCAATCTATACTATATCCAATAATACCAAATTTAGAATTAATAGGGGCTGAAATACCGTTTTGCAATGTAAGTAAAATAAAGAAAACTCTGAAAATTAAATATCTTTCCTTTTAAACCCTATAATAAACCCACAAGGGCTGCATTAGTTGTTCTTTATTTGGTAGTCATTTATTTTTCACTTTAAATAAAGTGTCCCAGAATAAATATAAAATTCTTACTTTGTTGCCCGTATAAACTTGCCCCAAACTGAGACAGCTGACCTGATGTAGATGGTGATGCCAGCATCTAGAAACAAATTAATTATATTAGAGCATAAAGAAAGAACACAGAGCATTGCATTTACACTTTACAAGTCTGTACAACATACCATAAATATGAGAGTCCAAACTACATTTCTCATTCTTCAGAAAAACATAAATCACACATTACATAATTCTATGCTATTAAGAGAATATCACAATTAGATGAAACCAATCTTTGCAAATGAAATTAATTTTTTATACTACACAAGTTTTTAAAAGTAGCACTAAATTAAATTACAGCAACACTATTACTTCACTTTAAAAAGTCAGCTCTATAAGTTTATAAGTAAAATTACTTGATTCTTAGATAATATTAAGCTAAATTCTAAATTCAGTTTATTATCTAAATAGAGAAGTTTTGTACTTTGTAAGAATATTTCCTGATTTTTATACAAATAATTGACGTATATCAAATGGGTAGGAAAACTTAATAAATATACACATAACCATATAATAAATGAAGAGATGATACAATAGCAAAGTGTAAGTATAAAATACTTACAAAAATATACAGACATGGTATATAATCTATTAGTGAGTGACATGAATTTCATGGCACTTGCATAATACCTTTGAATTTATTGCATCAATGTCTTTTTTTCCCTAGTAGAGTATAAATTCTCTGAAGGTATGTTATATTCATGGAACATACTATACTCATTTTTATATCTCCTCACTTATTATTAAATAAGACATGGGCTATGTCATCAGGGGCTTCTAATCTAGTGGGGAAAGAGAATGAATTATACAACTAATTATACTCTAAGGCACAGCGTGACAAATGCTCTAAAAGAAGTACAAAGCATCACTGGAGGAGGATAATTCTGCACAGGAGAAAAGCATCAGGAATACTTTGTGGAGTGATAAAATTTGCTATGGGTACAGATAAAGGGTCTTCCAGGCAGAGAATATGCAATGAGATTATTGTAATAAAGGTTAGTGACATGATTAGAAAACAAAATAAGGAACAGTGGTGACTGGATAATAAGAGTAATTTTAAAAAAAGATAAAGTTTACCCCTATTGGGACACAGAAGAATAGGAAATAAAAAGAGTATGTTGGGACCAGATTGCAAACGGTCTTCTTAAATGTCATACAAAGATGGCTACCAGCTATGGCAAGAAAAAGAAAAAATAATATTAAGCAAGGAAGTGACATGATCAAAATGTACTTTGGGAAGATAATTCTAATAGGAAAAATGGATGGAAATGGAAAATGGTGAGATATGACACTAGAACAGCAGAAATGGGACTGCAAGTGAGAAGCATTCTGGTGGTAGAAGTAACAGCATTTTATGCCCTGTTGAACTAGATAGGGTATAGGAAAAAAGCAGACAAGTGGAGAACCACAAGAAAGAGAACTATTAGAGGGTCCTCTGTGGTTTCCAGGGAAGGAAAAGCATTCCAACACTGACCAAGTGTTGAAACATTTGGAGAGGAGAAACATTTAAACGATGGAGGTTTTACAATATACATTGCATGCTATTTTCATGTCAAAATTCTAAATTGTTTCAATCATTCTCAAGTTGACAAAATTTTTTATACAACAGTAGTTTTAAACCAATGATACACATCAGACTCTCCTGAGGTAATGTTGAGTTACACACCACTCTAAAAACAGCAGTATTTACAATACAGCAATGAATTTTCTTTAAAAAGCATCAAACCTTACAAACCTTCTCAAATCCAGAGCGTGTGCAATATAGACAATTAAACTAACATTCAGACTATACATTTTTTATCAAGTATAATCCAATAGATCAAAAGATGCCTGATCAAGTTCCCTTCTTAGATATTATAGTCATTACTGTTACCACATGAACTGGAAATATTTTATAAGTATATTAAATGTTCATTTCCAAAGTACAATAATAAGATCAGTGGAGATGTATAATACTTACTAAAGCTTTAGTTGGTGACAAAATGTAAAACGTTTACATAAAATGCTTAAGAATCATGATTTTCTGTTATCATTACAAGCTATAAATGAAAGAAAGTAGCTGTTTCTTAAGGCTTCAAATGTAAGATGTTGGCCAATATGAGTACAAGACTTAGAATGATCTATAATGTGAATATTTTTGAACAGACCACTTAAAACTTTACTTTTCCCAGAAATGTATGTTTATTGAATACTGAACTCCAAAGGACAGACAACTTAGTCCACTTTCTCACAAAGGTAATAAATCCACAAATGAGTTACAGGTGTGCCAAGACCAACCCTCACAGCATGGGAGGAGGGAGTGAGTAGAGAAGGGAGGCACAGCATAAAGGTAGAGAGGCTACGGCTCCCTATGCCTAGAACAGCAGGATGATCCATTTACCACAGCGTATAGTATTAAATATCATTTTGTCTATGTGCCACTACATGAAGGTTATTAAACACTGCTTTACAGAAAATCAAAGTAGTTTAACATTAAATTTAATAGTATACAACCTTCAACACATCCATGTAAAATAAGCGGTAATCCGCTATATAGACAGATGTTAAAATTACAGCCTCAAAATGTGTGAAAAATGAAAATATATTTCTTTTTTTTTTTTCTGTCTTTTTTCGTGACCGGTAAGGGGATCGCAACCCTTGGTGCGGTGTCGCCTGCACCGCGCTCAACCAGTGAGCACACCGGCCATCCCCATATAGGATCCAAACCCACGGCGGGAGCGCCGCTGCGCTCCCAAGCGCTGCACTCTCCCGAGTGCGCCACAGGGCCGGCCCGAAAATATATTTCTTATAAAATTTATCCCTAATGATATGTATTTTTAAATTCTGAAAGTATGTTTCATAAAATAAATTAGTGCTAAAAATAAATTTAACACACACTGAAGGAATGTGAATGGGACAGAAGTGTTATTAATGAGAACAAAGAAAATGCATAAGAAACGTAATGTGGCACAGCAACTATTACTCTTGACAGACAACAGAAAATTTATATATTTTTTTAAATGCTGGAAGTTAACAACATAAAGGTGAATTTCTTAAAAAAACAAAATTTTAGATCAAGAGAAACATTACAATAGGGAATGCAACGTAAGTAGAAAGAGTACATACAGCTTTGGAGTTGGAAAATAATCTGGGTTTGAATCCTGGTTCTGCCACTTACATATGGGACAGTCGAGCCTCAGTTTCCTTCCTGTAAGATGAAAATAACACTACCTACCTCACAGAGTTGAAGTGAAGATTAAATGAGATAAGATATGGCACATAGTAAGTGCTCAACAAATGGTAGCAGCAGCTGCTAATAATCTAATCTTCCTTATTAACAGCAGACAGAGGGGCATTCAGCCTCTGGGGAATTTATTAAATAATACCCTAAATTGATATAACTTCCTGCCCAAGGAACTAAAGAAGTTTATCTTCATAAATTCCAGGTAAAATAAGGTGTAGAACTTGTGCTCTTAAGAGGGACAAAAGGTATAAAAGGATTGAATGTCAGTAGAACGCTGAAACCAACAAGTAGGTTATCATACTCCCAGGCTAAAATTATCATCATAATATGTCTTCCACATCTCTCAAGAAATCTACAATATACACTGCAGTCAACCAATACCACATTAAGAACCAGAAAGCATCTAAAAGGAACAGTAATGTGATTCTGGTTATTTCTCTGACCCACCAAAGAGCCCCTCCATCCTTTGTTAAATATACAGAACGTCAAGAAAATCAACAGAGTAGAACTGTATCTTTAAAATTATTTCCATTGTTATTAGATACAGTGCTGACATTCATGACCAACAAACAGTCTAAAAATTTTTGTTTTAGAAAAATTTGAAAACTTAACAATAGGCAAATTGGCTCTGGACAGCTCTCCATAACAGTAAAAAAGTGTTAAGTCTTCCATCTCCCTCATGCTTCCTAATAGTCACCACTTCTCACAATTACTCCCTCAAATAAACATACCTTCAATCATGAAATCTATTTTAAGAAACATTAAAATCAGTTTGATCAAGAAATTATTTTCTACATAAGAGCATATGCCTTCAAACTGCAACAAAATTTTGTTAAACATTCCCTGATCACAAAAGCAATTTAAAAACGAAATAAGTATCTAACTTTTAAAACATGCTTTTAAAAAATCATTGTACAATATACTTAAAGCTATGGCGATAACATAATTCCTAGTATTATATTATTCCAAGACAAAAACAAGAAATGAATTTTGACTTTTGACTATACTATATCCATAAAAAGAAAAAATCATAAAGGGAAAGGAAGAG